GTTAAACGACAGATTTCGGGTATATTTCAGGGTGCCGTCTTTGAAGCTTACTGATTCAGGTTGTGATTTAAGTGAACTCTGGTTATAGTGAGAAAGGCCTTTCACGGGAAGGAATAGTGGACGTAGAATTTCTATATGAACTATTCTAAAAATCTCGTGTGTTCTTGTGCTAGTTTGCTTTTTGTTTTTCATTTATTATATTTTCGCTGCACTTTCTGTGTTTAGTCGTAAAATTGTAGCAATCCTATTCACCCACTTCCCCCCTCTAGGCTTTGCATCCCAATTCCAACAAAAAAAGACCTTTTTATAAGACTCATTGGGTTATCTGCATTAATCCTTAAATCATGGTAATTTTCAAAGTTATCCCTCAAATCTCAGTACTTGCAAACTATCTCTAAACCATCAACTCTTGGTGTGTGTGTGTGTGTGTGGGGGGGGGGATTATCTTAAAATAAAAAAAACCAACTTGATGAGTAAAAATTTAATTAATTTTGATGATAATTAGCCAATCAACATTGATGATCGATTGATTTGGAGATTAGGTAGTTTTACGAATTCTGAGATTTGAGGGACATGCTTGCAATACTCATAACGTAAGGGTAATATGTATACAATTAACCCAAACTATCTAAACTTATTAGAAGGGAAAATGCTAGAGACACACCCTTAAACCACACTCCTAACCACACTCCTTTCTTGCTACAGTACACTAAAGCCCACATGAGAATTTTGAAAAAATTCTCATATGGGCCCCACTATACTATAACGAGAGAAGAGTATGGTTGAGAATGTGGTTTAGGTTGTGACTATACCACCTCTCTGTTAGGGGCTGTTTGGTTGTATGTTTTTACCATGTAAAAGGATGTAAAGTGTAAAAAAGTGGGTCCCAATGTCAGCTTTCATCACTTTTAATTGTTTGTTTGTAGTTGTGAAAATAGTGTAAAGTGATTTCATATGCTGATGTGGCTTGTAAAGTGATTTCATGGAAAAAAGACATGATTTTAGGAGAAAGCTAACATTGAAGTTAGGAAAAATAATAAAAAATAATTCCAACCAATATGATCATTTGAGTAGGTACCACTTTTTACACTTTCCAAACAAACAATTAAAGTTTTATTTTTCAAACCAAACAAGTGTTTTATGATTCCAATGGAATAAAAAATAAACAAAGAAAAGTATAAAAGTAAAATTGATGAGGTGGACAACAACTTTCCAAGTTGTGTCACAAATACACAACTTTACCAACAACAACCAAACAGCCCCTTAGAAGTCGCCAAACATGACATTCCCGAGTGCCGACACATGCCACCGACGTTGTCGGACCAATCTTCAATTTCTCACTCCTCCTCTCTTCACTGCCCACAGAGCACCTGCCTGTCACCCACGTCCCTTGGGGGCCCCACATGTCAGCCTCTCGAAACATCTCTCACCTCCTACATCCAAGTCGAGTTCCTACTTATTAATTAAACTGTACCACTTCACTCCCCTTCCTCTTCCTGCAAAAACCTCTGTCCCATCGCAACGGTCACTTGCACTCTCATCGATGCCTGTCTCTCTCTCTCTCTCTCTCTCTCTCTCATCGCCTTTTTGCTTAAAATTCTCAATCTCCCAACTCAAGCTCTCACAACCACGATGGCTCCGAGTCTCCCTAACTCTCTCTTTCTCTTCATCTTCCTCCTCTTGATCTTGTTCGACTTCTCAGCCGCTGCTGATGACTCCGGCGAGCTCTGGTGCGTTGCCAAGAACAACGCCGAGGACTCCGCCCTTCAGGCGGCCCTCGACTGGGCCTGTGGGCCCGGCGGGGCCGACTGCGGGCCCATTCAGCAGGGCGGGCCCTGCTACTCCCCTGAGGATCTCCAGTCTCACGCTTCTTACGCTTTCAATGATTACTTCGTTAAGCATGGGTTTGATCTCAGTGCTTGTGATTTCTCTGGCACCGCTGCCCCGATTTCTCTTAATCCGAGTAAGTATTCGTTTTTGGGACCTGGATGTATTTTTTTGGGATTTTGGTTGGGTTTTTTAATGGGTGGCTGATTTGTTGCAGGTCATGCAGATTGCAAGTTTCCGTCGAGGTTAGTAATATTTGATTAGTTTGTTTGGGGTTTATTCTTGGTTATTAAATTGTGAACTGTAACTTTTTTTTGGTTTGGGAAAATTGACCATGAGATTGATCACTAGTACACTTAAATAACAATATATAATTGAATGTGAATGTGAATGTAGAAAACATACAAGATGGTAGTTTGATTTTTTGTTTGTTTTTTTTCTCCTTATAAATTCATGAATCTGTATTTAGCATGTGTTGGGGGAACAATGTACAGTTTCAGCACGTCCTTAAGTTGGCATAGAGCGAGCTAAATAACGTGTATTGATATTTCGTTAATTGACTAACACTGTAAAAAATTATGCCGGAGAGGCATGAGAGGCTATCGTGTAAATTTCAGGGTATTGCTTGAAAATTAATCAGAATATGATGGATCCACTCAAGCTTAACTATAAATTGGTGATCTCGGTAGCTGAATTTTTATTCACTTGTATAATGTTGTTTCTTATTTGTTAGTAATTCTGTCATATATTTTTTTGTTCATGAGTTAAATGCGCATTAAGACGTCTGCTTTGTCAATTAGCTTAACTATGACTGAGTAAGAAAATGGAACTTTGATGGCTGTGCATGTATTGGGAGCATCTCAATAAGCCATGTAGCAGTTCTTGATAGTGTTCTTCTCCCAGTCTCGCCTCTGTCACAGGAGAAATTCTTTGTAGTAAGATATAATTCAATGACTGAGTAAGATATAAATTCTTTGATACTGAAATCGTTTCACATTCATCTTGTCACACTATCCTGCATTCTAGTTCAGGAAATGAGAGTCCCAACTTAAAAGCCAAATAATCATAATCAAGCACTATTTACACGAGCATAGACAAGGAACCTTTGTAATACTTTGGAAAGATACAACATTTGAGCTTTGTCCTTCTTATCAAAAAATTTGGGCGGATACCCTCTTGTACTTTGTTGAATATTGCTAAGCCCCCTACACCAAAGCACCCATACAGGGACAAAAATTGTAGGAAATGGCTAATTACAATTCAATGTTATGATGTTCATCTTTGATCATTTCCAACTACTTGATCCGGGATAGAGAGAATAGAATAGGGGGAAATGTAATAAAGTATAATTTGTAGACATTGTGTCTACGGTCTCTGGTTTGTAATTGTAAAGAACAATATGAATATCTCACAAATTATAATTGTTATTTTGTGGAAGTTGATCAGGAAGTGTAATTTTCTAAACAAAGAGAGCTGTATGTGGTATAAAATAAAATAAAATAAAATAAAATAAAGAAAAAAAAGAGATGATTATGCCAAGTAGCTCCTATCATACACTTTGACCTTTGAAATTTCCTGCAATAACAGCTGATTATGAGAAACTTTTATCTGTTGTCACTTAGGATGTTAACAAAAGCTTTTGCTTCCATCTATGGCAGCTCATCTGCGAGGAATGGCAACTTCAGTGGATCATCATCGATTGGTTCTAGCACTGGCATAGGTCCATCCGGGACTGATTTCAGTGGTGGTGCTGCTTTGCAACTTATTTCCTGGCTATCTACGCTATCTTTCTCTTTCTCGATCATGATCTTCACCGCATTTGGTCATGCGTTTGGATGACATTTGCTAATTAATTGGGAAAAAAACGAAGTTGGGAAACATGTTAGACATTCATAAATTGTTGTCGAGGTAGGAACTTAGGTTGTATGGCGAGGAGATATGATATGGTTCTAGAGGAAGAATAGCAAAGCAGTCAGAAGCAAGTTCTGAAAAAGTTTTGCGTCTTTGATTTTGTAGCTCGTGCCAGTTCATATACTCTCTTTGTTTTGAATCTTTTGTTGTATAGATTGCCTTTGTAGCACTGAAGGTTGCTTATATGTGCGACAATATCTTTCTCGATGAGAACTTTGTTGTGCATTCGAGCGACACTTGCAAATTAAGTGGAAGAAAGGAAGAAAGAAAATGTCAGAGATTCATTAGTTGTCAAGGTAGGAACTTTGTTGTATGAAGATATATGAGATGGTGCTAGAGGGAGAAAGCAAACGCTTGCAGGAAACTTCTGAGTAGGCTTTGTGTTTCTTTGATTTTGTAGCTTGTGCCAGTTCATATACTCTCGTTGTTTTGGTATCTTTTTGTTGGTGTATGTGGCTAAATCTGGAATTTGGTATCTTTTTGTTGGTGTCTGTGGCTAAATCTGGAATAAAACAGATTAATTTGTTAGAGAGGTGAAGTGCTATATTTTAAATTTTTTTCAAGATTAGTTGTTGTACGTTTATGAAACGCTATGTTTAAAGCAATATTTGGCCTATTCTTGTAGGCGTTAAAAAATGCTAATGGATATCCCAAACATAGAGAAGATCACTAAAAAAATTCACAAGAAAAGATTTCATACTGTTTTGGAAAAATCAAAACAAGTATGAACTGTCTCGCTAGCGAGACAGGCTCTGCTGTCTCGCCAGCGAGACAGTGTTGAAATGGTCAAAACCACCTTTGTAACTACCCTACACGTGTCCATTAACTGCCAAGTGACGTGAGAAACATCGTGGGCGAAAATCACGTGAATAACTGTCAAAATAACGGAGTTTGAAACGTGGGAATGCAGTTACAGCAAGAAACTGCCAGGAATATTCGTTTTTCGAGACAGCATTTTACTGTCTCGCTGGGCGAGACAGCAAATTTACTGTCTCGCTGGGCAAGACAGCAAAGACTGTCTCGGCGAGACAGTAAACACTGTCTCGCCGTACTGACTTCTTCGATTGTTAAGTTTTTGCAGTTACTGACCCTTGAGGCTATAAATACCCCCCTAGGGTCACTTCTGACGGGGATCGAGCATTTGTTAGAGCATTCCAGAGCAGATTTGAGTTTTCTTACAACTCCTTGAAATTAAGCTTTGACTTGATTTTAAGAAGAACGACTATCTTATTTCGATAAGATATCGTTTCAATTCTCGCTTCGATAAACGAAGTCAGAATCATAAGCCCCCTTCACGATCTGTGATTCGGTGGTCCACGAGCTAACGCGCTCCCGGCACAGGCAAAGTCCCACAAAAAACAGTAGTTGATACCCACGAAAACAAAGATCGATAGACGATTTTTGTGTTTGTTTCTCAAGAGTTGTAATTTTTATTTTGTTGTGTAGAAAAAGTCTTATAAAAAGATTATTCTTTCGAATTTGTTGTAATCAAACAAAGTTATAATGAATTCCTCAACAGAACCGACTTTTGACTCAAACAGATATCAAGGTTGAGGATGAAGACAAGGCGATGCTACTATTGTGTTTGTTGCCGGAGGATGATTTTGGTATGTTTGTTCTCACTATGATAAATGGAAGAACTACGGTTAGCTACAAGGAGGTGACCTCAGCTTTAGTGAATTATGAGTTGAGGAAGAGTGATGACGAACCCTCCAAGAAGGCATCGGGAGATGCATTAGCAACGGAGTCGTTGATCAATAGCTCGCCGGTGCTGACGAAGAGGGCTCGTCAGAGACAGCGTCAGCGCCGTGCTCGACAATTGGCTAAGGCCATGCAACAAACCGACGGGGTCCATTACTATGCGGACCTAGAGTCGAGGAAACAGAAAGCGGTTCAATTGCCTCAATGACAAAATAATTGTATTTCTACAAAACTTACGACGGAGGAGTGGACTCTCGTCAAAAGGGCCCGTTCAACCCTCAAGGAACGGATACAAA